GTGGGGGGGGGCGTCCCACAGGCCAGTAAGCCTGGTTTCTCTTGATTGAGTTGTGTCCCACATTGCCCCCCACTCCCGAGGAGCCTCTAAGGTGGCCCTTCTCAGAGTGGTTGGTAGCAGGAGCCGGCACCAGCTCCTTTTTCTGGACTCTGGCTGTGGGGACTGGCGTCTGCATGGTCTGTCCACTGAGTGATGGTTTCTGTGTGTACTGGTTGTCATCATCTCTCTGCGCGGACACCTTAGACGGCTGCTGGCTAGAACATGGTCACTGTGAACCCCGTTTTGCCAGCTGGCCACTGGGCCTCCTAAGACAATGGTCCAGAGCCCCCACGCCCTCTTAGAACTAGACACCTTGAGGGAATGAGCTCTTGGGCCTGAAGGATCTGGATCAAGGTAAGTATTTGTGAATTCTTTGAGAAACTGCCAAACCAAACAACTCCATTTTATGGTAGAAATGTGATTTCAAATCACAGTAAAAAAATTAATTATTTTATTAATTTGCCAAAAAGTAAGTAGAATAGCTTGTGAGTATATTACAAACCCCCGTCGATGCTGACTCATAGTGGCCCTATGGTGCAGGGTAGAACTGCCCCTGTGAGTGTCTGAGGCTGTTGACTCCCATCTCTCTCCCACCAGGAGCCTGTAGAATCAGGCCTTTTCCTGCTGTGGGTGGGAAAAGTTGGCACCTTCTTTGGAGGGCAGTTTGGCAGAGTGCATCATTCCAGTCCCCTGGCAGGGTTCTTCTGGCTGAAATCGAGGTTCTGAGACACGGAGATCTAAATAAGGTGTGCTCACCTTGTCTTCCCTGCCTCTTCAGAAATGTGCATTTTTGCTAACGTGGTTCAGACTGCAAGAGCGAACGGTGGTGGTGCTTCCACAGTAAAGAATTGAAAACGGCGCCAAGGGCCCAGAGTAGGAGACTGGGAACGTGTGTGGTGATGGGCGGTGATCTTTTCCCCTCCTGTCATCCCGTCCCTCTTCCTGCTCCGGGAGACACTGCTGCAGCTGCTGCTTGCTCTGCTCTGCACCCTCTGAGGGCCAGGGCCACCAAGCAGGCTTCTCTGCACGCCGCGCTCCCCAGTGCCCATCACCTTCATGTCTTTCTGAGCTCTGCGCAGAACCTTCTCTGACCCTCCCGGTGGTTTCTTCCTTGACCTGTCCGTTAGTTGCACACAGTGAACAGATGTCTGGAGCCATTTTTGCTGCTGATTTCTAGTTGAATCCCCTTTGAGAGGTGTTACTGTTGCTATTTGAAATGCATACCTACGCCTCACCTACTGTCTCCATATCCATTATCCCACATTTCCTGTCGAAGGCAACTTTTCAGAAAGGTTTAGGCAATGCTCCCTCATGGTCTGGGCCCCCGAGTGACCTACCAGCAGCCCTGGTGATGACCAGGCCACACCAGGGACATGACCGACCAGCTGCTGGATGTCTTTTTCTGTGTGTTTGTGACACCCAGTCCAGTCACAGGGCTGGGGGCGTGGGGGAACCCAGGCTTCTGACAGACAAGCAGCGGGTGGGCAAAGGCCCACAGGTGCTGGAGAACGGGTGCCAAGAAGTTGGTATGGAGGGAATTGGGCTGTGCAGGGTCCTGCCCGGGCGAGTGCGTGTGCGTGTGTGTGCGCGCGCGCATGCTGGGGGTTGACAGGTAGCGGAAGAGTAGCTCTTCGCTGAGAGCAGCGGTTCTCAACCTGTGGGTTGCGACCCCTTTGGGGGTCGAACAACCCTTTCACAGGGGTCGCCCGATTCAGAACAGTAGCAACATGACAGTGATGAAGTAGCAACAAAAACAATTTGATGGTTGTGGGGTCACCACCACCTGAAGAACTAAAGGGAGGGTCGCAGCATGAGGAAGGTGGAGAACCACTGGCCTAGAGCCTTGATGGAGGGCACCCCACACCCTGTGGGTGCCCCAGTGCTGCAGGGCGTGTGGTGGGAAAGCAGGGTCTGCCGTGCACGTGTACCCCAAGCTGCGCCTGGGGTGCGAGGGAACCCTGGAGCTGATGAAGGCGGGTCCCCTGACTCACATAGTGACCTTTCTCTGGAACCTGGCCATGATGATGGGCGAGGTGGGGCCGAGCGGACTACAGAGCCGCCTGGGACAATGAACCTGGCTTTGTGCCGCCCTGTCTGGTCACAGGCCCTGAAAACCCGTGGCTGGTCCAGGCCTACGTGTCCGCGGCCAAGCACCCCTTTGCTTCCGTGGTGGCCCAGGAGGTGTTCCAGAGCGGCATCATCCCCTCCGACACAGACTTCCGCATCTTCAGGGACTTCGGGAACATCCCAGGTATGGTGCCTGCGGCCAGGGGCTGTGGGATGCTGATTTCTGATCTTGAGCCGTGCCTCTTGGGGGTCCTGAGCAGACGCCCTTTCCTGGGGTGCTTCTGCCTCCCAGCCTCGTCCCGATACTTCCTGTCGCTTAATGCTGTGTTCTCAGGCGGCACGGCACTGCTGCTTAGCTCGCCCCTTGCTCCCAAAAGGTGGTCTTGGGCCCTTCGTCCTCTGTGAAGTGTCGTGACCTGGCTTAGCCGGATCAGGTGGCAGCTTGTCCAGCGAGGTGGGAACCTACAAGGTGGCTCTGGTGTGGCAAGGGTGCAAAAGGTGAACACGTTGGGTGCCTCCCAAACTCCCATGGCCACCTGGCTCGCTGACTCAGTGCCCCCGAGAGTGCTCCCTATTGAATTAGGCAGTGAAGCTGTGGGTGCTGACAGCAGTCACGCCCCCACCCTGACATTTGACCTTTTGGGAGTTTTAACACCTTAAACCAACAAGTTGGCTTTTCATGCAAAATCACTGTGCCTTTTCTCTGTCCGTCTTAGGCATTGACTTGGCTTTTATTGAGAATGGCTACATCTACCACACCAAGTACGACACGGCCGACAGGATCCTGACCGAGTCCATTCAGCGAGCAGGTGGGTGGCCTAGACGAGAGGGGGGTGGGCTGGACTCCACCCTGAGCTGTTCAGAAGGGCGCCCGCTGGACAGCCCAAGTGCAGGCTGTCAGGACGGTGACAAGGGCTCCTGTTCCAACAGCTGTCCTGGGTGTAGAGGGCACAGCGTTGGGCTGTGAGGGCAGGTGAGGCATCATTGGACAGGTGCCAGAGGAGGGGCACAGTGTGCATGGGGGTGGAGGGTAAGGGGACTTAGGAGGCTCAGGAGGTAGGCTAGAACCCAAGCTGCATTTTTAGAAATAGAGGAACTCAAGGTAGAGCATGGGCAGAGAGAGTCGTAGGAAACTCCGGAGGTCAGCAAGCAGACACGACAGGAAATGGGAGCCGTTGAAGGCCTGTGTGTGAGTGAAGTCCTGCTGACGAGGGGCTCAGGTCAGGTCTGGAAACGTGAAGGGGAGACAGGTGACGAGTGGTGTCAGTGGAGCCTGGCTTTAAGCAGAGGGCACGGATGAGAAGCTGTGAATGGCAAGGGCAGAGCAAAGCCTAAGGGCTGCTGACCCTGACCCTGGCAAGTGGCAGAACTTAGGTGGAGAGTGGAATTGGATTTTGCCAGAGGGAAGGGAAAGACTGAGGACCCGGTTTAGAAGAAAGCCCCTCAGGGGTGGAGGGAGATGTCCCTGAAGTCATGCGGGCTGAGAGCACCTGGTGTCTCAGAAGTCAAAGGTAGGGAACGTCGGGTGGGCCCAGGGTGGGAGCACAGCAGCAGGAAACGGAGCAGCCACGCTTCCTGCTCCCCCAGCAGTTGCCAGGCTGGCAGGCACTCACCCACTGGTTATTGTAGCAGAAACTGCTGGCCGGTGCTCTGCCTGCCTCTCTGCGTCAGTGCCGTTGCCTCGGGCGCTTCCCACAGCCCTCTCCAGGGAGCTGCAGGGACTCCTCCAGCAAGGCGCGTGTCTCTTGTCATTGCTGACTTTGTGGGGTCTGGAACGTGCCTGGTGAGGAAGCTGTGTTTCTTATTTGGGGGTCAAGTCGGTTCCAACTCAACAACTCCCTGTGCAAAGAAAGGAATACCGCTCAGTCTCGCACCATCCCTACAATCGCGGTTGCAGCCTCCTCGCTCTCTCCGCCCCTCTATCAGACCAGGCACGATGTCCTCCTCCAGGGCCTGCGCTCCTAATCATGATACAGGAGGGTTAAAGGAACGAGGACTGTGCGTCTGTCATGGGTGGTGCAGCTCTCATGGAGGCTCGTCTTGGCGTGGGGGAGGGAACACGGGGCTCACAGGGAGGACTGCAGCTGTGGGCGAGGGTCCTCCTGAAGATGGTAAGAAAAGAGCCTCTGTACCGCTCTTGGGGCTGGGTCTTCAGTCACACTGGTGGGCTCGTTTTGTAAGTAGCTGCCCAAGTAAATCCCGCTCAGGGGTGGTGTCTGCCTTTTCTCTCCTAACAGGTGATAACATCTTAGCCATCCTTAAGTACCTGGCCACCTCTGACATGTTGGCCTCGTCCTCTGAGTACCAGCATGGCAACATGGTCTTCTTCGATGTGTTTGGCCTCTTCGTCATCGCCTACCCCTCCCGAGTCGGCTCGATCATTAACTACATGGTGTTCTTGGCCGCTGTTCTGTACCTGGGCAAGAAGCTGCTGCAGCCCAGACACAAGAGTGAGTCCTGCTCTCTGCCGCGGGGTCTGTCCTTGCCTGGTTAGGGAGTCGTATTAAGCCATTCTGCTTGTGCCGTTTCAAACCAAACCCAAACCCACTGCCATCCGGTCGGTTCCAACTCAGCCTCCCTGTAAGGGGTTCTGAGATGGTCAGTGCTCACGGGAGCAGACAGACTCGTCCTTTTCCTGAAGCGTGCCCAGTGTGTTTGAATGGCCCACCAAGCAGCCCAATGCTTAACCTACTGCAACCACCAGGCCTCCTTCGGACCATTCTAGGAAGTGAAGAAGGACTGCATTTGATGAGTACTCGTGAGGTGCTTTCTACTCTTGCAGACTTCCAGTGTCAGAGCCCACAGGGCCAGTCCTGTCCTGTCCGGTTTGGAGTTTGTGAGTGACTAAATGTCCTCCCTGGGGAAACAGGCAGTTGTTAGGTGTTTCCAGACACCGTTGTTAGGTGCTGTGGCGTTGATTCTGACTCGTAGTGACCCACCTGATGCACAACAGAAGGAAACACTTCCCTGTCCTGCGCCATCCTCACAGCCGTCCTGTGTTGGAGGCCACCCGCGCAGCCCCAGTGCACCAAGGAGGAGCTGTTAAAAGTGGACTGCACAGAGCTCTGATGGAAACCCCCCTTAACAGCCTTGTGCATGCTGCACACGCACGCTCCTAGGGCACGAGTGGACGGCTTTGGTTAAAGCTGCTGCTTTCCCCTTGAGACGTGTCTGCCCCTTGGTTGGCATCTGCTGGCCCCAAGATAAAATACTGAGCAGCAACCCGAACCATCCTTTTCCCTGGTGGGTTTCCCCTGTCCCCGTCTGCCCCAGGCTTGGCTTCTGTTGGCACGAGGGCCCTTTCCCTGGGACCTCGCCCAGTATTTAACCAGCCTGACCACTCAGGGTGCCCTGCCTTTCTTGCAGGGGAGTCGTGTCTTCTCATTTCTCCCATCACACTGGTTAACCAGGGGAGTCATCAGGAGCTGGGCACATGGTGGGTTGCATGTTGGGCCATTGATTTCTCACCCCCTCAGCAGCTCCGTGGGAGCACGAGGTCTGCTCCCGTGAAGACTGCTGCTCGTGGAAACCCTGTAGAGTTGTCCTCTGCCTGACAGGGTGGCTGTGCGTCGGAATCCATGACAGCCGCTTTGGTTCTTGGTTTGGTAGTGCAGTGCTTAAGCGCTCAGCTTCCAGCTGAAAGGTTGGAGGTTCAAACCTACCCACGGCTGCCTGGGAGAATGCTGTGGCGGTCTGCGGCCTCCGAAATCCTGCAGGGCAGCTGTGTGCCGGGATCGACTCGCCGGCTGTGGGCTCGGTTTAGGTTTGGTGACGTGGCTGGCAGTGTGACGGCAGCTCTGTTCTTCTTCCCGTCAGCTGCTTGCTACATGAAGGACTTCTTCTGTGGGCTGGGCATCACCCTGGTCAGCTGGTTCACCAGCCTCGTCACCGTCCTCATCCTTGCAGTGTTCGTCTCTCTGATCGGACAGTCCCTCTCATGGTACAACCACTTCTATGTTTCCGTTTGTCTGTATGGAACTGCGGCTGTAGCCAAAATAGTGTTCGTACACACCCTGGCAAAGAGATTTTACTACGTGGTAAGTGGTGGGCGCGTCTGTAGATCGCAAATACTTCAAGGAACGCAGGCAGTCGGGCGGGAGTCTGCTTAGCCCCGGGGAGCTGTGGAATGGTGTCCTTCCCGCAGTTTCCGGGCTGCGTATGGGAGGGCTGAGGGGCTGTGAAGGGGCGGTGGGCGGTGTTTGGGGCAGTGCCGGAGGGCTGGCCACCCGCGCTGCTGCCTCCTGCTTAACTGGGTCCCCTCAGCCGCCCTGGGCTCAGCCTGGGACAGAAGCTGTTCTCCTGGCTCTGTCTCCGCTGGACCAGAAGCTCTGGGAGGGCAGGCGTACTCTGCTGCGCAGTGAGCATTTTCAACGTGTGCTTCCTGTTTCCCTTAGATGTTCCACAGAGGGCTTCAGAAAGCCCGAGGGAAGAGTCCATGGTCTTTTGAGTCTCTTTTCCCACAAACTTTTAGAAGCCCCCTCCCCTGCTGTCAAAGCAGAGGGAGTGGGGACTGCGGGGGCAGGCTCCCAGGTGACGGGCCAGCGCCCGGCTGTGGAAGTAAATTTGTTAGGTGAAAATACAATTAGGAGTCAGGGTTAAGAAATGATCGGACTGAAAAAGAAGGTCCAGAGCCCTGGCTTCTGCATTCCCAGCAAGTGAAAGGGGACATCCCCACTGAGCCTGACCCAGCCTGGGACCCACAGTGCCTGCGGGTCCTGGGCCTGGCCGGGTTCTGCTCCCCTCCAGCTGAGCAGGCCGGTGGAAGCAGCTTCTTGGAGGCTGGCCACCCGTGTGCTGGGGAGCACATACTTGTACCCCATGCCTCCAGCTTCAAACAGTCCCCACGGGGCTGTTTCACTCCTTCCTTCTCCGCACAGCTTCAGGTAACCCGAGGGTGAGGCCCTGCTGGGGTGACCCTGGTCGGAGGGCGGAAGTGCTTGGTGAGACCCACTTATTTAGGGGGAGCAGAGATTTTCACTTCCCATGTAGTGGGGTAGGATGGCAGGCCGGGCAGATCCCGTCCACAGTGGAGCGATGGAGGTCCTGCTGACAGTCCTCCCTGGGAACGCCCCCGGGCAGGAGGGGGCCTGCACTATGGAAACCAGGCTGTGTGTCTGACTACCTGGAGGAAAAGCATGCCCCTCCTAGGTCTTTCCCAAGGGGCTCTGGCCCCAGTCCCGGGCAGGAAAAGTGCAGAAGAAGGGCAGTGTTGGGCTGCCCCCTCCACACTCTGCGTTTCCACTCAGACTCAGGAAGTCTAAGGTGCACCCAGACACGTCGGGCAGGGACACACATGGTAGCTGGACAGGACCATGTGCCGAGTGGGCTCGTGAGTGAGAGGACCTGTAGATTAGGAAGGAGACTGCTAACACTGCGGGTTGGCAGAGATGGTGAGAGACGGCTCATGGAGATGAGGAGAGAGGAACTGCATTTGGAGTGTGATCTGGGAGTGGGAGCCCCACTGGTTAAGGGAGTAGCCAAGCCAAGTCGCCAGCAGCTGGAAACCCCAGCCGCTCCTCAGGAGGAGGTGGCCATCTGCTTCTGGAATATCGCAGCCTTGGAAGCGGAGGCAGGTCTGCCCAGGGGGTCCCATGGGCTGGAATGGAGTCAGTTGGGATTGACTGAGATATTTGGGGTTCTTCGTGGCAGACGTTTTCAGCAATTGGGAGTTCACTGTTGAATCTTTGTTTTTAATGTCCGAGTGGGGATAAGCTTAAAACTGACTCTCAAGCATGATTTTCTTCTTCACAAAGACCATCTCCTGGTCAACAATGAGTTCAGCATTTAACGAGGATAGCTGAGCTGTTGTGGACAACAGGCCTGCCCGAGGAACGAGAAGGGGGGCTAGAGGAACGCCGGCACTTTTACTTCATTTTGGGACTCAAGCCCAAAACCACACTCACTCAGGGAGTCGATTCCGACTCAGCGAGCCTGTTTCTGGGACTAATAGTTTATGGGTGTAGAAAGCTCAGTCTTCCACCCTGGAGCTGCTGATGGTTTCAAACTGTTGACCTTGAGTTAGAGCCGTAATTACAGCTCTCAGGTGTGTGATAGGAGAGCTCCTGGTGCAGGTGTTCAAAGGTGTTTGGTTCCTGAGCAGCTTGCCTGAGCGAGTTTGGGCACTGCACAGGAACCCTTCGACCTCAAGACGTGACCCGTAGGTCACATTTCAAAACATGCAAGTACCAGGAACACCCACCGCAAGACAGGAGGGCTGCCGGCTCACCGAGGCAGAGTGCCTCTCCTTTCTCTCTCTCTCTCTCTCTCTCTCTCATGCTCAGCCACTGCAGCACCAGGGCCCTCTCCAGGAATAGAGGGCGGGGTAGGGTAAAGGCACCTTGCACAGCCACTGGGAGGTGGAGACAAACAAAACTGAAACCAAGCCCTTGGCCATCGAGGGCATTGAGTCCCGCGACCTGTAGCACAGACAGAGCTGCCCCCCAAGGCTTCCAAGGCTGGCTGCCAGACACAGACAGCCTCATCTTTTTCTTGCAAGGTGACTGGTGGCTTTCAACCACAGACTTTGAGGTTAGCAGCCCAATGCCTAACCCCGCAGCGCCCCCCTCGTGCCGTGGGCGTGCTGCCGAGATGGGGAATGTTTCTCCCTGGGCCCTTTCTCCAGGGTGCTGGAAACAGCTGAAAGAGGATTGCTGTTAGGAGAGTCCTGTTGTTCTCCTGTTTTCCAAGGTGGCTTTAGCCCTTGGAGGATCAGAACATCTTAACGTTAGGCTCACTTCCGGGCAGCGATCCTAGAGGGTAGCTTGGTGTAGGGAGGACCTGACAGCACCAAGCGTGCCTGTGAACCCAGCTAAGTTAAGCTGGAGTGTGGGCGACCGGGGGGGAAGTGTCCGAGGGCCTGCGGCCGAGCCGGCCTGCCTCGCTGTCTTTCAGGACACCAGCCAGCAGTACCTGGGAGAGCTGTTCTTTGACATCGCGCTGTCTGTGCACTGCTTTTCCCTGGTCACACTCACGAGCCGCGGGCTCTGCCTGGCGTTTGTCAGTGCCGTCTGGGTGGCCTTCCCGCTGCTCACCAAGCTGCTCGTGCACAAGGACCTGCAGCAGAACGGTAGGTCGGCGTTCCCGTTCCGGGGCGGCCTGCCGCGCTCACTTTCTGCGTCTGGTTCTGGCTTTTCATTTGTTTGACTTTCCGGACCCTGCTTGTTTTATCTCCCACTTGACACGCTGCTCCAAACCCGCATTTTGTTTAATTCGTGTTTGTGTTTATAAGGTAGCACGTCTTCTTAGCTCACGAAATAACGTTTCCCAAAGGGCAGAAGTCACATGCAACTTTTTTCTTATTGCTCTCCCTCTCCCCTCCCCCTCCCCCTCTGAAAAAGTTCTGTTTTCTTGTGGCTGATGTTGCTGGTGTACACAGCAGAACAGACAGCAGGCTGACTGCCACTGCCCGGCCTCCTGTGAGCTGGAGAAGCCTTCCCACCCCATCGACACAGACCCACTGCCCCTGGTCTCCAGTCTGACCTTGCCGTGCGGGTGCTGTGGTCAGTCCCATCCCATGCGGGTACACCAGCCCCACACCCACTGCCTTCCAGTCCATTGGGACGAGAATGACCTGTAGGACAGGGTTGAACGGGAGCTCATTTCTCTCCTGCAGAGCAGCTGGTAGGTTTGAAATGCTGACAAAGCGGTTAGCAGCCCAACAATTAAGCGACCCACCCCCCAGGGCTCTTTCCCGCATGTACGAATCTTTTAAAAGCCCAGTGTTCAGGGCAGGCATTCTTCCCAAGCTAAGCTTAATGACTTGGTTTTCAGAAGACTGCAGGGATATTCCTGGTTTAAGGTGTAAAGATTATCTCGGGCCATAGGTTTGGGGTTTTGTCCAGCCTCCATGGATCCAGAAACTCTAGATCCCGTGAGAATTTGAGATTCCCTCCTCTGTCTTAGTCCTCTTGCTCAGGGCATCTACAGTAGTGCCTGTCGGGCTGTGAAGCTCCGATGGGCTTGCGTTCTAAGTGTGTGTCCCTGTGCCCTAGGTGCTGGAGGAAAGTTCCTGGGGACTTACCTTCTGGGGCTGTTGATCCCGTACCTGTACGCACTGTACCTCATCTGGGCTGTGTTCGAGATGTTCACCCCCATCCTCGGGAGAAGCGGCTCGCAGATCCCGCCCGACGTGGTGCTGGCCTCCATCCTGGCTGCCTGCGTGATGGTCCTCTCTTCCTATTTTGTACGGACAGCTCTTTGTTCTTCTCCTGTCGCAGTGACCATGCCACGCCACGCCACGCCACACCACCCACTTCCTTTGGGCTTTTCCCCACTGAGAGCAGCCCTGTGGGACGGGGAAGAACTGCTCCTTGGGGATTGTGAGGCAGTACATCTGTCCAGGAACAGACAACCTTATCTTTTTCCTTCAGAGTGGCAAGTGGCCTTGAGGTTAGCCGCCCAGCGAGTCACCCACAGGGCCACCAGAGCCTACGAAGCAGACCCGCTGTTTCCTTGACTCTGAAATTCTTAAAGCCAGCAAAACCTGAGTGGGCGTGGGTTCAGCGTGGTGACAGTGGAGACCGGGCTTGTTCCAGCTCTGGTTTTGCTCACAGAGAGGCTGGTGGCCTGCACCCAGCCACCCTGCTGCAGGAAGATCAGTGTGCTGCCGCGTCCCAGCCTGGGCGCCATGGGAACTCCCCTGACGTCGCTGGGCACAGTAGCACGGGGTCTGCAGCTCTCGGGCTGATGGGCTTGGCAGGACAACAGCATCATGGTTGGTTAGGCTGGCTTCCCCCGGTTCCTGTTTCTCTGCTGCCTTTGACCCCATCCTGCAGGTAGAGGGCGTGGCTTGGAGACAGAAACCTCAAATCAGACACACTGCCATCGAGTCAGTGACTCATTGCAACCCTGTAGAACAGGGTAGAACTGCCCGTGAGTTTGTGAGACCGGGCTCGCGCAGAGTGGTCTCAAACTGCCCACCCTGCAGTTAGCAGTCACTGCTCGGATCAGCAGTGACGAGGGTTCCAACACGCTGACGCATTACCCCATAGTCTGTTGGAAAGGCGCTGGCCACCTTCCTGAAAGCGTGCAGGCACCGAGTGACTCTGCCTTTCTGTGTTGCATGTCCAGATCACCTTCATCTACCTTGTCAGAAGCACACAGAGAACCATGGTGGCGCTGACCCTGGTGTGCACCCTGACCTTCCTCCTGGTCTGCAGCGGGACGTTTTTCCCCTACAGCTCCAACCCTGCAAACCCGAAGCCAAAGCGCGTGTTCCTCCAGGTGAGAGCCCCTTTGGGAGAGGAGCCCGGGGGAGGGGGTATGTTTGGAGCCTCCCCAGCAACAGCAGGAAGTCCAGCTGGTGGCAACCTATTTCGTGGGAGCCGCCTCTTTGTGTGATGAGTGAGGGAAGGACAAGACTGGCCACCAAGAGACATTCTAGCCAGCTGGACAGTCGTCTCCCAGAGACAGACCCAGAAACGGTCACGTGCTCTTTTTATGACCGTCCAAATTGTAAGAATGCACCTGCAGCTAGAGGCAGGCCGTGGACAGCTCACCTCCCACCACCTGGGAACCTGAGGCGCGGGCCCTTTGATCGTTAGTAACACTGATCGCAGCTGCCGTGCCTTGAGAGACCCGGGCTGTGGCTTAGGCAGGGATTACCGAAATGGGATTTAGAATTTCCTGCAGCTCTCAGGTTTTCTCCAGGCCGTTTGCAGCCTGTGCTGTGCCGCAGTGAAAGACCCAGGCCTCCTGTCCAGTCCTCGCAGGTGGCCGGGAGGGAGGGGCCGAGCAGGAAACTAAAGGTGTCAAGTCTAACAGTGTCTCCCACCAGGGCAGTGCTGCCTGGGGGGTGGGGGCAGTGCGGGGCCACCCCGGGCGCTGCACATCTTGGGTGACGGCTGCATTGTCAGGGGGTGCTGATGGCTGTCCAAATAAGCTTGGGAACCTACAATCTGCCTTGTTGGTCCTTCACCAAGTCAAAATCGGATCTAATAATCAGGAGATTTTGAGCAAGGGCCGCCTTCTCCTGGTTTTTGGTCTTGGGAGACAATCTACACATTCAGAAACGCAGTTGCAAGCTGAACCTTGGCTCCTCCTCCAGCCCTTCCCACAGAGCTTGTCCATGGGCCCATGGTGGTGACTAGATGTCCACTGTCCCCCCGAATTCCTGGCCACCTGTGAGAACCCACCGGCAAGGCCCACCCTGCACCACCTCTCACTGCAGACCGACCTTGGCTACTTTAGAACAGGAAGCACCAAGCACTGGTTTCTCCCAGGAGGTGACCAGAGGCATGCTGGTCCCTTCTGTGAACAGCCACGGGGGCGGGGGTTGCTGTGCCTGAAGCCATCAGGGTGAGGGTAAGCATAAGGGCCAAGGGAGTCCACAACCACACAGAGTGGCTGCCACTGCCCTGTCTGGAGAGCAGCATCCGGCTCTGCTCCAGGCCCCGGGTGGCGGACCAGCATTGTGGCTCACTGGGCCCTCCTGCCTGCCCAGGGCTGCTGCTGGGCCTCAGGGTGCCCCTGGTGAGCAGAAGATGGGACGGTCTACTCAAGATGCCCTTAGTGCTCTGAAACCTGACTTTCACAGTCGGCTCCACACCTGAAGGTGTTCTTCCTTTAAGTGAGTGCTTCCACGGCAGATGAAGTTCCCCTCCAGTTAGTGTTACCCCGCTGGTACAGCTCTCGGGCGCCAGCCTGCACTCAGCCGGCCCCTTCTCTTTGGTCTAGCTTCCTTGACTTCTCATTTCGCTCCTGGGAAGATGTGGATCATTGGGGTTTGCACAGTTGATTAAGAGGCGCAACACTGAGAGTGTTACCGTGTATCTTACAAGGCTCTGAGACATGGCTTGCAGAAACCTTCCATTCTGCCTTCGAGTCTGTCCTTGTCCAGAAGGCCTGCCCAGTGTTTGGAATTTGAATCTGCTTCCACGTTTTCCTCCCATTCTATCCTGGGACCTTCTGCCGTGTACCTGGGTAGTGGCCGCCGGGCACCTTCCGAGCTCGGGTCAGAGGGGCTGTGATGTGTGCACTGTTCATCCATGGACTGCTTGCTTCTCTGAGCCACTGCTTTCCCTCATTTCCTGTTGCTCCATCCCAGTGGAGACCAGGCTCTTAGTGCTGCTCACATTTCCCTGTGAGCTGTGCTGTGACACTTGGCTGTGTTGTCCCGCAGACCAAGTGCTACCATTTATGAGGTAAGGTTTCAAGTTCGCCAGACTTTCAGTGAAGCACAGTGAGTTCACAGGGAGCCCATGTGGTTTTCAGAATGACGCCGCTTTACAAAGTCCTGTTTCAGAGGCAGTGGGGCCGTCACGTGGAGGCTCTGCGGACCACATGGTCCGGCTCTGATGCAGCTCCTGCACTTGCCGTGTGAGCGGCCAGTGAAGGTGGCCAGGTTCTGAAAAAACTAATAAAAATCGACAGGGGTCCGATGCGACTGTGGGCCGTTTAGCCCTGCCCAGCCATCCTTGGTTTTTGTTCCTGTCTGACAGTTGATTTCCCTGACTCCCGTCGTCTGCGAGGAGTCTGCCCTCTAGCGGTGAGGTCCGGTCCCAGATGCTCCGAGTGAAGCGTGCTGAAAGGGTGGGGGGTGGGGGGCGTATCATCTGGTTCTTGTGAGGTTCTTGCTTGTGTGTGTAAACCATCTTGAGAGTTCTGGTGCTCCTGGCTGTAAAACCTGAAACAAACAAAAAAAAAACCTGAAACAGGGTTGAACAGAGTTGTCAGATCGGATGAAGTGCACCTCTCTGTGCCTTTGTCTCACAACGGAAACAAAGACCACCAGCACCGCCTGAGAGGCCAGTGTGTACCCCGCCCTCTCCCCGCTCCGACCGCCTCGGTCTGGGTCGGTCACTCAGCTGTGCAGCCATGCCTTTGGGAGACTTGGGACAGATGGGGCCGGCCAGAAGTACGTGCCCAACTGCTCGTGATGCGCATCCACACCGCTTAACAGACTGGGGCCGTTGGAGGGTGCCCCGGGTCCTGACTCTGCCATTAGTGGTCACCCGGGGGTGTCTAGTCTTTTTTGAGTAAACTAGAGACCATTCTGGTTCAGCCTCGGTGTGCTGGGGGGAGGTCCGTGGGCCCTGTGCTCACGCTGGATGGCAGTGCTGGCCCTGTCGGGGTGCCGCGCTTTCCTAAGGCGACTGTGCCAGCCAGCACCCCCGCCAACACTGCCCGAGGGCCTTCTGCTCCTCCGATGCCTTCCCTGGGATGGTGGGTCAGGTGTACGCCTCTCTGGGGATCGGGTCAGGAGGGGGCCTGTGGTCAGAATGGCCGTTCTTACCTCACCTGACTTGTTCCTTCAGCATGTGACTCGAACGTTCCATGACCTGGAAGGCAGCGTGACCCAACGGGACTCCGGGATATGGATCAACGGATTTGACTACACCGGCATGTCACACGTCACCCCTCATGTCCCTGAGATCAACGACACCATCCGAGCTCCGTGTGAGGAAGCGGCGCCCCTCTGTGGCTTCCCGTGGTACCTCCCGGTGCACTTCCTCATCAAGTGAGCCCACGAGTTCTGCGCTCGGCCGGGCTGCCTGGTTTGCAGTGCTGTCACTCAGCCCCTGGTTAGGCAGTGCTGCCATTTCAGACAGGCCTGAGGACACCCTGGCAGCACCAGGAGCATTGCACTTCCAGGGCGGTAAAGAAAGCCCGCAGTGCAATAGTATCTCTCTTTCAGGAGACAGGTTCTCTTCAAACGCTCCAGTACTCAGGAAGGCTGGTGGACGCTCCTTTCTCACTTAATGGAGATCAGGCTCGCGTTTCTTTCTGGGGCAGAGAAGAGCGAAGGGCTGCTAGCCAAAAGGGTGGCAGCTTGACCCCGCCAACCCCGGTGTGGGAGAAAGGTGCAGCCCTCTGTTTCTGAAGAGACGCCACGGGGCAGTTCTATTCTGTTCTGCTTCAGGTCACACTCCCTCTGGGTGGAAATCCGCTCAAGAGCAGTGGGTTCAGCCTTTTTAGTGAAGGATTGCCAAATTCACTCAAAAGTTAGCTGTTTGAACCCACCCAAGGGGCTCCTCCAGAGAAAAACCTTAGGGGTCTGCTTCTTTAAAGATGAATGTAGAAGACCCTAAAGGACCATTGGCTCTGTCCCCTGGGTTCCCTGTGTGAGTTGAGCCCCACCCCACAGCCACAGCTGTTGGGTCAAAGTCACCTGGTTAATACCGTTCTTCACTGAGGAGGTTTACCTGTGCATTAGCCTGAGCTTTCAAGGGCCTTGGGAGGAAGCATTGTCGGTCAGACCCAAATCATGTTCCTGTTTTCCAAACACCCAGGAGTGAGTGATACCTAAGCTGTCAACTAGCAGAGCAACCTAAATACTGAGGTTCCCTTTCCAATTAGGAAAAACTGGTATCTCCCTGCTCCAGAAGTTTCTCCAAGACTCCGCCCTCATTTCAGGCTGATAGCCAAAGAAAAGACACCCTGGGATTCTACAAGGTTGACCTTTGAAACAACGGGTAAGTGGTGTAACATTTTTCTTCTTTCTTGCACTTCCTTTTACTTTTCTAATACATGTAGTTTTACACCCCTCAAAATATACTAAACAGCAGCTTAGGAGTTTGAGTTTACAGGGGTTTTAGAAGCAGATGAGGCAGATGGTGGTTCTTAAAAGCCATATTGAGAAGGGTCGAGTAGCAGGTATGGTCGCATGAGAAGGATAGGATCAGGCATGGCTCATGGGAAGACTAGAGTCTTAGACATCAGCTCACAGGAAGGGTAGAGGTGAGGCATTAGCGCAGGAGAAGGTTAGAGCGGCACGCATCGGCTCAGGAGAAGGGTAGAGGTGAGGCATTAGCGCAGGAGAAGGTTAGAGCGGCACGCATCGGCTCAGGAGAAGGGTAGGGTGATCAGGCTTCACTCAATGAGGGCCAGCTGCCCAAGTCCATTTGGCCGGGCATTTTTGTAGACCTCATGGCCTAATTTACCTTTCTTGGTAAAAAATTTATCTTAAAACCTGTTATCTTGATGAACTGATAACATGGACATTATTTCTAAGATATTTGTTAAAAATACCATGCGGTCCAGATTTTGGTGTATTGGTCTGATAGGCTTGGTGAATGTTCTTAAGGAACTTGCTCATCTGCCCTGAGTTTTCCAGACATTGGCACGTGCCTGCATAACCGTCTCTTGTGCTTGGGCCTGTAATGCTGTGCCGCTGCAGCCAGGGCACTGGTGATCGCGTCGTGCTCGTGGTTTTCCTTCCGTCTCATTCATCCTTAAGCGCCTTTCTTTTATTCGAGGGGAAGTTTGCAGTGGGCTTTACCTGCCGGGAGTGGTTGTGGGTGGTAGGGTGGCACTGCCTTCACTGTTGAAGGTGTGGTGTGACCTGCACATTATAGGGCTTCCTTAAAGTTTGCGTTTCTTGTTTTGTTGAGGGTGGGAGGGATGTTACCCTCATGTGGATGATTTTAGAGTTAAGTTAAAAATAAAGCATCAGCAGGAATCTTTTAATTTGAAGCCGTTCTACATCAGAAAGGTCCACAGATACATTCAGAAAACATTAAGTGGTATTTGGTTCCTAAATGCACCAAACATGAGCAGCCGTTTGGTGAATTTAGACTCCTAGGTGGTGGGATCGCACCTTATAACTGCAGTGCAAGTAGCAAGACCAAGAAATTCATACCTGTGCACTACTTCTCACTGAACCGGGTCTCCCTTCCTCCCTTGCACCAGGTCCCCAGCCGCTCTCTTTATTTCCTGGGACCCAGTCCTGGCTTCTGAACCCTCCAGCGCGGCGGTTGATTGTTTATACCACCTAGAAGTCCTTGGTCCGTACCTTCATTTCTGCGCGAGTCCCTGCTTCTTGGGTGACTGCGTCTGGCTCTGTCAGCCAGGTTGGAAATCTCTTTCGCTAAATGGATGAGTGCAGTCACCTCACATTTATTTTTGTAACTCGTGTTTGGTCTCCGTTCTGTCTGTGTCAGGGACACTTGGAAGTTTTAAGGAGAATTTTCATCATCTTTTAGTTGTATTTTGCCATGAACTTTTGGAAACTCCTTCATAGTCTATCATTATGAAGTGGGAGTGGGGTTGGGTGATTCATTGTCCAGTTTGGGGCTTAACTTTTTGTCTCGCTGGACCTCAAAGTTTTCCCAGGTACTTCTCTCCTCCTTCACCACCCATGTGCCAAAGGGCACTTGGCCATTCATTTTTGCCTTGGCTCCCAATCTTGGATACTTGTCAGTCTCTTCTCTGCAGTCCAGGGTCTGACCAGACTCTTGAGCAGTGCCGTGGCCTGGGCGAACTCCCTGCCCTGTCATTACTGCCACCAAGGCATGAGAGGACTGCTTACTTGGTTGTTTTGAAAAGTAGGTCTTTTCCATCTTGATGTGAGACCGATGGAGAGTGTGGTTTGGGCGCGGTGTTGTCCTTTGTTGGCTGTCATTGTCTTTCTGGACAGAATATCGGGAGACAGAGACCTACCCAGTTGTCACTCGTTGTGACTTCCTAGAAGCCCCCGTTGTTAGGGGTGAATCAGTGGTGAGGTCTGATCTGTAGCGCTTTGCAGCTTCCCGAAGCACAGCGACGTGCTTTTTCTGATGCAGTGCTCGCAAAAGTCTGTTTGTAGACTAAGAAATGGGAGCTCAAGGCCAGAATCTCTGGGGACACCAAGGTTACATGATTCTCATAACAAATTCTGCCTCCTACCTTGTCAAGGTGAGCAGCCATGTCAGGTGCAACTGCTGGCCTCCCTGTGCGGAGGAACGGAGTGATGGCATCACCAGATCCACAGGGAACCAGACGGTGCCCCTGAAGGGGCCACGTGAGCAGGTCCTGTAGAGAGAGAGGAAAATGGGTACAAACTCACTCATTTGCTGATGCACCCATTTTGACTTCAGCAATCGTGTCAGGAAGGTGAGCATCACAGAATGCCAGGTTATTAGAATAAAGTGTTCTTGCGGTGAGGGAGTACTTGACTAGAGGCCCAATGTCTGTCTGCTACCTTGATACTTAACCTACAAATATGTGAACATTTATCCCTATCTTTATATATTAATATATTTACATATGTACGTGCCTATGTTTATACCTCTATAAATGTCTTTTGCCTCCTAGTTCTTTCCTCTATTTCCTTTTACTTTCCTCCTACCCCACTATCATGTTTGACCTTCATTCGGCTCTCTGTACTTCCTCTGGGCTACATTGCACTTGATCAAACCCCACCAGGCTTTCTATGCCCCCCTTGCCATCGATTTTTGGTCTCTTGTTGTGCCCTAGTCCCTGGGTTTGTTGGCTCCCCACTCCGTTTTCCTCACCTCCCACTCTCCCATGTCCCCGCCCCCCCCACCATCATGACCCCAGCTCTATCTCGCAAATCTAGCTCCTGGAGTATGTACACTGCTACGTATAGGAGCTCTGGACACACAGAATCCAGGACCCATATTGAGAGTAGCAATACCATGAGGGTAGGGGGAAGGTCGGGGGAGAAAGGAGGGACCAATCACATTATCGATATATACCCCCGTCCCCCCCAGGGGGGATGAACAACAGAAACATGGTTGAAGGGAGACTGCGGACAGTGTGGAATATGAAAATGAAAATAATTTATTAATTATCGGGTTCACGAGTGTAGGAGGGAGGG